ACCGAGTCGCTGCTTCATTGTGTTTTGTGACCGTTCAAAACTGCGCCAGATTTCAAGCTGGTAACAACCATCACTTGACTGTTCGATCGGAGTCCTACATAAACCCAGTATCCAGTTAACATGACGCATCAATGAAAATAAAAGAGACACATATCCCCCAAAACCTTCCAAAGATCAGGTATGTATGAATTCCCTGTATCTCTTATTTATTACTACACTTGTACGATCTAACCTTTCATTTTCTTAATTTAAACTTGGTTGTTTACTTACACGCTGAAATACATGCAGGCACACACTCACAAACACATGACCCTCTACCTCATTTTCTTTCCATTTTTTTGATATTAGCATGCATTCAGATGAAGTTTATAACGAGTTTGAATAAAATTCACTGTGAGTATTAATAAATAACTTTAATATACTCAGAATTTATTCAGAACAAAAATAATTAGAGCGAACAACTGTTTTCAATAAATTCTTCCATTGTGTTTATCATTTTACATGTATGTATTGTGCTGTCAGTATAAATTTTTCTCCAGGTTGTACATTTACATGTATGTGTGGACACACGTACATAGGGAGGACCAATCGGTCTCTACAGGTTAGGGCTAAAGAACATATTCCATAGTGGCTGTAACAACAAATAAAATCGCCAGATACAACTGATCCCGGAAACAGATGTCCAACATCATCTATAGCCAAGCATATTATAGAGACGGGTCATAAGGTTGATTTCAACAATGCCTTTAAGCACATACATAAAACAAGATTGGGTCACATACTTGAATTTTTTGAGGCCTTGGCCATAAAAAGACTTAAACCTGTTTTATGTGTCCAAAAGTAATTTGTTATCACCTTAAACCTGCCTTGGTAATCCAATTTAGAACGAAGGATCAATTTACTTCATAATATTTTCAACCCCTTCTTCGCTTTGTTTTTCTTTCTTACCCACAGCTTTGCGTCATCTCCCTACCGATTATCTGTGACCTTGACCTGTACACGATCTGACCTGTATTTTAATGATTCATGCCTTCTCTAAAACTGTGTATGACAAGTATGTGTGTGATAAGAATCTCCGAAATGTGTTGCACAAATACATTACACGTTTCAGATAAACTATGTCTTCTTATTGTGTTGTAGAAATAAATTCTTCTACAGGTTGTACAATTATAAATCCATTAATTTTAGCACTCAGTAACCTGTAAAGGCGAATTCGAGGTATATCAGAAAGTGTATTGCGCGATAGAATTCCTAATAAACAAAAGCTTCTGAATGCTGTCAATAATATTCACCCAGCTATTCATTTCAACTAAAAGGAAGAAGAAAACAACAGTATACACCCTTCCTAGACATCCTCCTCACCAAAAAGACAGACGGATATTAACCAAGAAACCTATTTACAATGAAGAGTTGGATGGGTCAGCACATTCATTTTCATAGCTCCACACCGCTCCAATACAAATGGAACTTGGTTAAGTACCATTGTTATGGAATAAACGCATATGTGCAGAGGAATGCATTAGAGAAGAGATGTATAAACTGAAACTTACACTACAAGATGAACGGATATCCAGAGATCTTTGTTAAAAAACTACCTAGAGATAGGATAATGATGGGTGAGAAACCTTTGTATCATAAGTTGAGTTACAAAGGGGAGATTGCAGCTGACATTCTACAATTTCGACTTAATAGAGCAGCAGAAACAACATTTCCTGCTACAAAACTGGTGCTCACTTTCTCAACTAAATCAAGTACTTACACAGTGAGTCAAGGATAAATTACCAACGATGGTCTCATCAATGTGCATCGATGAATCCAACTGCTCATGTGGAGCTGGTTACATTGACTGTACCTGGAGGGCTTTATCCATGCGCGCACGTGAACATGTGCCTGTATGATTGAGTAAAGGTGTAGCCAAATGCGGAAATAGTGCAGTCTTGGCCGACGCGGTAGATACTGACATTCAGTAAAACCAGAACAGGTGCTGTCGGTTGTTCACCGTGTTCCTGGTAATCTATCTAGATGAGCCCTGCGAAATCATCAATGATTAGCTGTAGTGATAGCAATCAAAACGAGAAAACCTAGTCTTTGGATACAGAAGAAGTATGTCCATCAGCTTTATTTACCTTGGTCTACAAAAAGGTCAACAAATCCTCATAAACACACACTGGCACTTTGAATTCCTACCCCATTTTTTTTCTTTTCGCCTCTTTGTTCATTTGCTTCATTGACAAACGTTCACTTCAGACATTTTACGACTTCATGACCTTCATTTCTTATTATGTCTATCACCTTAGGTTTACGTAATGTATGTATGTATGCAACCCCTTTCATTCCACTTCACTAACTTCACTATTATCTGATAATCATTCACTAGTAGTGCTTTTATGTTAACACCATCACCATATTTATTATTCCATCATCATTATCAGTGTTATTTGTCACCCTTGAACTTACACTATGTATGTATTTAAAAGACTTTAGTTATGTCAGTAACAGTTATTCTTTTACTATTATGGATACGTAAGTTTAGATACTTGACAAAGGAGTTATTGCAAAAAGAATATTCTTTGTTCACTAATCAATTTTGGAAAATTATGCCTCATCTGTTTTGTCTATTAAGAACACAATATTCACCGAATAGACTCTTTTCAACAAATATATATGTATACATACATAACTGTAAAACCAAATGGAAAGAATGGTCCTTATTCGTTAAAGTCAGCCAAATGTTAGAAAAATTTCATCATATTTTTTGCAACACGTAAAGTGCAACATACACAAAGAGTAAGACAGACAAGCGACATTCGTACAGATGATCAAACAGGTCAGGTCACTTAAATATTTATCACGAATGAATCATCATCTTGTCTATTTATTTTGTAGGCCAACAGGAATAAAAGTTGAAGGTCATACATGAATTAACCTTAAAAGTGATTGGTTATCATATCAGAGTTAGGACTTTATTACATCTCCGTTAAATGTAGTCTTAGTCCGTTGTTATGATGGCTTAATGACACAGTATACATCTTTTAATGTTTTTTAAATAAAGTTTTGCATTAAATTTTTTTCTGACCTAGATATTATCGGTGGCACTATATTCTTGAATTGTGCTTTATATTTGCCGCACTTTGATCAGATGTCGCTTGATACTGCTATCTATGCAATGTTATGGATTAAGTGGAGACCGTAAGTTCAAAAGTTAGACGTATGTCATTTTTAGATTTTCAATGAAACTTGACAATACCCATTGGATAAAGCAGGTGGCAGGGATATTTCATAGAATCACTCGACTTTTTGCATCAAATGACCCATATCTTAGGAATGAAAAAACTGTCGGTATGACATATTTCCAAAGTAAGATGTCTTCGCCCTTCTTATCATCATCATCATCATCAAAAATAGTGTAACTTTAGAAATGAATAACGTTGTTGAACCGGTAATCTACAGATGAATAAAATTAAATAGCAGGTGGCAACTTTCATTATTATTTTGAGGAATTTAGACAACTGCAAACTCGACAAGTTACCAAATAACCTTTAAAAACCAATCAGATTAGTTTCCTCATATTTATTTCTAGTAGAAAGCATACACAGTGCATTCTCTGATCACTAAATTTAAAATCAGTAACTGAGTCATCTCCAGTTGTGGTGAGAGCTGTCTACTAGCCAAATTGGTAGACAGTAATTTACGTTCCCAAGATTTGTCGTGAGAAGATATGAACAAAACTGATTCAAAAACCGACCACAGCAGACTTTGCGTAGGCAGATACAGTTAACACAAAGATGATCTGACATTCAAGAAACAGTCACAAAGAGATGAAAGATTAACTTTAAGTGAGAAACAACCAATCAGAAGACTGTGTTTGTTTGCTAAAATAATCTATAATAATGTACATGAAAATATATAAATATGCTTTGATTTCTCTAATAAAAGCCATCTGTTGCCTGGCCCTTTTCTTCTGTTGTTACACAGTTTTCAAGGGTTTATAATGTCATCTATTTCGGTACTTAATTCATAACAATCCTTACTAAAGACTCGATGCCCTACAGTGCATTTTCTTTTGACAAGTATCCAAGACACTAATTGTGTCTACTTATTACTGTTCATCAACCACACTAAAGTACATTCAATAAATAATTGATGATAAGTGGAAATACAGTGTGCAAATGGAAGTAAAATTTGATCACAATTTCCTATCGAATGACAGTGTGATATAACAGATGAGTAAATTTATGCCAGGACCGGTTGTTTGTCACTTCTTTATTTTACACAAGAATACTGATTTGCAGTAAGTTTGGTGTTCGTTTTCTATTCAGCTAGTTAATCATTTAAAAATCGACTAAAGGTGAAGAACTAGTTTGATAATAAATAACATTGCATGATTTCATTCCACATCAGCGGTTAAAACAAGCCGCGAAACATGAAATTCTGTTTACTTTGTTTTTGCAGAAATTTTATTCCTTTGAGTTTCGAGTGGAGCATAGGACTTCAAGCTTCAGTAGAAGTAATGTTTACTTTTATGGCATGCTGTTCCTAGCTTCCCATCATCCGACCCTCCCTCTTTGTCGGGCTTACAACACGCTAGAAGAGGTAAAGGTGTGCAGTGGACAGGAGTCGAACCCCGAACACTGCGCATGGTTGGCCAGCATTCTAACGCTGAACTATCATAGAAGACATGAGTCACTGAACTCTAATCCAACGGCTGAACGGTAGGTAACATGTCCACTGAGCTGAATAGAAGGCAACAAATAACCATTGCTTTTTTTTTAATGCTCCGTCTAGCTGCGACAATAACTTTTCAACTGAACAAATAAATAAATAAATGACAGAATTTATCATCGATTGATGCTACAAATAAACTATCTTCCTAACCCAAACCTGTCCATTTATTGTTCTGTAAATAATCAATAATCGTATATAACATCGGATAAACAACATTCAAGCGTATCGTATGCGCGTTAGTTAACAAATAAAAGTCAGCACTGACTAGATCTTTGAAACAGACAAATGTCTACTTTTTGATTTGTTTATTTACTGACTTTTATTTATTTATTTATTAATTTAATAAATGCAATCGACAAAAATGATAGTCAGAAAAGAGTTCAAATTGTAAAAATGAATAAAATCATTGAAGAAGTTGTATAAAAACAAATAAACAAACAAACAAGCAAACAGAAGAGGCATTCATTGATATAAGCCATAAGCAGGAAAGAAAAGCGCGAGGGAATACAGCTGTTCAAGATTGTGGATACACAAATACAAGACAAAAATTAGAGACAGAGGAAGAAATAACTGACACATTGGAAATAACATTCACTTCAAGACAATGATTTTTGTTTAACAATAAAATGAAGCATACATATGCAATTAAAAGGCTGGTTCGTTTGCATTTTTTCCGCCTTTTAATTTGGTAAATTAGAGTAGAGTTAAATGAGAATAGTGATAAAGAATACTATTTCTCTAATTCAACTAGGATATCTCCTTCGCCTACTGCTTCACCTGCTTTGTAATTCACTTTCTTAATCTAAATGAACAATAAATAAACAACGGAATAAACAGTTATACTAATGAGGGAAATAAAAATATGGAGGATGACGTTTCATCAACACTCTTTCCATAGATCCCCGACTGACGCACTTCTAAACCGCGTACTGAGAGATCTTCTAATGAAGATTTTGATTGACAACAATACTTACAATGATTGAAAACTTCGGGGGTCTCATTTGCAGCACATGTATGGCCTTCCAAAGTCATACAAAAAGCAAGTCCCCTGAGATCCATATTTTCAATGATCAACTCGCCTAGCAGAGAAGTTGGAACCCATTCGTCAACGGCTAGCTTTTTACACCATGAAAGACTCATTTCATTTTGAGTTTGACCACGGATTGATATCAATTACAGATCCATTAGAAACAAGGGAGTACTGGACAGCTGTTTCATCCTAGTTTGGGAATCATCGTCAATATGCACCTCCAACAGGGTTCGAACCCAGGAGCTTCCGGTTACAAGGCAAGCTTATATACCAATCAGCCACTGGGACCCGATTCGATGGCTAATGATTTCTAACTCCTACCAATTCATTTCATTTCGCTGGTAGTTTGAACCACATGAATGTTTCAAATAAGTTCATGGCGTCATTTGATGTAACCTTATTGCTCACAAGGATCTCAATCAATGAGACTATCGAGATCATTTGCCAGTAGTCTGATCTCCTCTCACTCCCAGTGTAGGAATTCAAACGCCTACTGCTAAACTGTACCATGGATATGAAATTCCAGTTTGACAACACTCTTTCTCTCTAAATAGATGGTGTAGCTATGGTTAGTACACTTAGCTCTGTTTTAGCAGATATCTTCACTGCGAAAACTGTTTTTCGTGTTTTATTCAAACCTTTTTAGCCCGTAGTAAGGCGTGAGGTTAGCAACCCCACCCCGCAAGAACAACCCCATCACTAGTGAAACTTCAAAGCTCAGACTTGAAGTCCTATGTTCTACTCATAATGTTGAGGAAAAACCAGTCACACAGGCCAGTGATGAATTTTCATCTGGAATAGTAATCCAGAGGTGACGAGTTTATTTCTATGTATTATCACAATTTGTCCAATTAACTAATTTTCTTTATTCGTTTCTATTCATCGTCGTACGGGTAATAGAATTTTGCAGATGCCTGGGTGGCAGGCGTTGAATCATCCCTGTTACACATATTTTTAGTTGATTCGATAAATAAAGCTTCGGTTATCCATATCTCATTCCACCCTATTGTTATATGAAGATTTTAAGACTGTCATCTTACCCCATCCTATCGTATGGTTGGTTTTGTGTAATTGCATGTAGTGATATCCACGACTGAACTATTCTCTAGATTTATTATCTTATTAGGGTCAATAATTCTAGATTTTGCTAGGTTTTGAGCTCCACCAGTCTGACTGACTGACCCCATTCTACCACTTTGACCTATGTATTTGACCAGACAATCATTACAGCAAAGTATTAGATAAACTAAATTGTCTTGTTTAATTGGCTGTTCCACAGGACCCTTTAACCGACAAAGCTTCTTTCGAATTGAGCTTGTGGGTTTAAATGCCACCCAATTGTATTCCTGCATTTTTAGGAATTCTCCGTTTGTCTTCCGAGGTTCCTTCTTTCTATGGAAGTACTACCGATGATTTGAATTCCCTATTGTTTGTGTCGTCATTATTCTGTGCATGTTTGACATGGATGTCGTCATGATTATTATCATTTTTATTACCACTATCACTACTATTGTAAGATCAATTCATTTCCCATCCTTGAATCAAGTCAACCTCTCCCGGATCAACCTAGCGTTGTTGCAACACAATTATCCATGCCTAACGTGTCTATCCCACCTTTTTAATGAACATTTGTGCGTTTTTACTTCGATCTGTTTAGTCAGACAGTTGAACTCATGACCCAATCAGAGTATTTTTGTGAACTGTTATTTTGCTGACCCATGTCTTACTTTGTGCTATTCTGTCGAGTTTATCTTATTTATCGATTGGTTAAGTAGCCAATTAAATTCTATCTTTGTGCCTATGCTCTGTCTTCATTCTTCTACTGACTGCTTACCTGAACGGTCGTGTCTGATCCGGCTAGTTCGCAATTTTGGCTTTAACGTTATTCCGCTCTGATAGCGGTACCTTGATTTCTGTTAAGCGTTGCGTTTTGTACTCTTGAAACCGTAAAGGTTTGTTGTATATATATAATTATTGATTTGTTTATTAATAGTACCGTAGAAACAGTGACCGGCTTCTTGTTTGTTCTGGACCGGGATAGCCTTTATCTACGCGTGAATTAATTTCAAGCGATATTGCGCTTATAACTATTATTATTAATTTTATTTTTACATTTCCCTACATAATTCCTGAGAAATTTATCAGGGTAATTATTAAGTTTCAAGGCTTCTCTTATATGTCTCACTTCCCGTCTTAGATATTTTTTGATACTACTTAGTTTTTGTGCCCTATTTTCACCTAAACATATCACCAATCCTATTTTTATTGACACAGATAAGGTGGGGGTGGTCAGAAATCCAAATATAGGTTTGAATGTGTGGATTTCCTGTAAACACTAGTGTTTAACTTCCCATCTTCTTTCCTTTTTACTCTAACATTGGAAGCTCCCCTTCTTGACTTTCCAATTCATAAGTGAATTGAATTGCCTCCACCTTTGAGTTAATGTGTTTGAGGAATCCATTTATGTCCTGTGTTCTAAGTGCGGTGAATGTGTCATCTACATACCTTCATCATACCTCCACCATCAATAATGTGAAGTTATTGCTAAATATTTTAGCCATTATATATATATATATGTATATATGATTATAGCTTATTTTTTGGTACAAGTATGGAATTTTCAGCATATGATACCGGTAGTCCGAATTTCACAGACCGACCATTGATATCAGGTATGTGTTGGCAGGGGATCAAACCCCGGACCATGTGGATGGTCAGTGAGAGTCCTAACTGCTGTGCCACCGACGCGCAGTATGTATCATTCAAAACAAAACAAACAGTGATAAGTGGCAGTGGAAAGGTGCTATTGGCAAACCTAACGATAAAAGAAAGAAGAGGAAAGAAGTTTTATTCGTAATTTCTTCTGTTTGATTTCAACTCTTTTTACTTACTGAAATGATGTTGTTCATCGCTTGTTGAATCCGGTTACAATGATTTAAGTTACTTTGATTTTTTATGTTTTTCATGCACATACAGTGAGTCCAGAACGAGTTTCACCACCCACATTCTTCTAATAGCCAACTCGACAACTTCTACCATGATACGCTGATTAAGCTTTTCTAATCCCTCAAAGAACGTTGACTTGTAAGGTAATTACTAGTACAGAAATTTTTCCGACAACGAAGCCGTACTAGTAATCAGATAGAAATACAATTACAGTAAGGCTTTTTCACTTGAAAGCAACAATGCTAGAACTTTGAGAAGCAGGCATTTTGTAATTACAAAAGGGCGGGCATAAAATGTGAAATTCCTGCCTTGCTCTATACTCTCTGTTTTACTCCCAAGTGATAAAACTGTTTGGTGCACAAAATTAGTCGTCTCTAACAATCAATCCTAAAATCTGCGGTTAAGTAAAGCTATTATGTAATATTGGCAATATGACAAAAAGATAACCCTCATCATGTGTGAGGTATATGGTGTCTTCAGTCATTTACCTTATCATGAATTGTAAATAAATTGGTACAATTCACAATTCCAATGCCCGAAAAGCAGGTAGTCAGTTATAAAAAAAATGACTATCAGTTGTTTTTTAATACGACCACTCCACATACTAATTTTTAAAGAAACAACTTTAGTTACCCTCCGCTCCAATAACTATTTACCATCTCTTTTGTGTAGGAATCAATTTTCGTGTGTTAAAAGTGTTCCTATCAATTCTGACATAAAATACAAACTTTAGTATAACCTTTTATAAGAATACTTCCAATTATGTATACCTACTATTTCTGCACTTCAGACAACAGAGGACAGCTAATTAAAGTTTGAATCTTTCTGTTTCTTTACCGCACTAATTAACATAATTTTAGGGTGACTTTAGCTGTTTTGTTCATTGATTTTTCAGTAGTCCACATGAAAATATAACAGAGCTTCATGGTTTCGCTATGCCTGTATAAAATGTTTTTCATAAAATAAAACTTACAACGCCTGATCTGGATGCTGTCATACTATTTTGCATCTTCATTGCCTCTAATACACAAAGTTCTTGACCTTCACTAACTCGATCACCTGGCTTTACTGCTACTGAACGTACTAAACCGGGCATAGGGGCAATACAAACTGAGCCATAGTCGATGACATGAGGTGGTGGCATATAAGCAGCTCGAAGCCATGCTGCTGTAGTATCCATGATTTCTATGGGAAATGTGGTACCAAGATACTGTAACCGAACAGAATTTATGCTTTTACCCAGCAATTGTAATATTACCTAAATATATAAAAGAAAAATTAAGATGAATTAAAAACCAATTACATAGTTGGAACGCCACTAAAATTGTATGACTAAGGCATTCAAATGTAAATAAAAGAAATAAATAATCCAAAAAGAAACTATGTATTTAAGTGTTGGTGTGCGGGGACTTGACTGGTTCCAGGATTTCATCATGCGCTGACATCGGCTAGACGACCATTGGAAAGCCTGAGAGTACTGGACAGCTGTTTCTTTCTATTCTGGAGCAGTTCGGTAGAATGCACCCACAGGGGTTCGAGCCCAAGAACTCCTGGTTACAAGGCAATATCGTAGGCCATTAAGCCACTGGGATTTGATAGCCGGAATTTATGGGCCATTTGAGTCTGGAGGTCTTGGGCTCGAACCCCGGTGAGTACATTTTCACTGAACAGCTCTATACTAGGTCGAAACAGCTGTCCAGTGCTCACAGGCTTCCGAATGGTTCTCTAAGAGATGTTAGCTCATAATGAAATCTTGAAACTATATGTTTACTTCTACAGTCTGTTTTTCGTTAACCAAGGATTTCATACTTTCAGTTCAATTCCATCTTCTCTAGACTGTGTCAGTGAGTGATATACAGAAGAAGTAGAGCTATGGACTTAAAAGCTGTGATATTTTCGTTTATCACTAAAATCTTTACAACTTATATCACATTAAGTCCCATGATAAATAAATTTATTTAATCTAGGACATGGGGTAGTAGAGAAATATTTATCGATGACATTAGGAGTAAAATCTCTTCCTTTTTACTAGATAGTTTAACGTTACACTAGGAAATTTTAAAAGTTCTCATCAATAAGCCATGCTGAAATATTTCAAAATTAGGGACTGGTGAAATGATAGAAGAAAGGAATTAACTTAAGTGATAAAATGCAGCGAAACGAAAATGGAAAACTTTAACAACTTACTTCCTTGTCAGCTGATGAATGGTTGATAATTTTATCAGATAGCTTAAAATTATCAGCTACCTTTACAACTATTTCTTCAGATTTCGAAGGTGGAGCAGTAGCTTGTGCATTTTTTTGATTAACATGTTCAGGAGGTTGCCATGGGGACATACGCACATTGAAACTCGTACAATCACGTGTTACAATACAACGAATATATGAACGGCTTTTTGGATCAGTATCAGCTGTATTTTCGTGCAATGAAGCAACTAGATCCCATTGTGACTCCCTAATTTGGCAAAAGAGTCGATCAATAAAGGAGGAGTTAAAATTTTAATTGTAAAATTTTGCAGACTTCTCTATGAATATCTTGTCTTCGAAAAACCGTGTGCTCTAAATCTAGTTTTTGTTCTGTCCAACAAAATAAATATCAACAGATAGAATACCTATTTCATCACTATGACACTTATAAACCCTAAACATTCCTACTCTGGTGAAATAAATACCATAGTTACATATACTTCACTTTTTAGATGGCGTTGCTTTTTGTAAGGCAGTTCCGAGCGATAAGAGCGTCAATGTAGCGTTGAGCATTATCACATCAACACAGTTGGACAGAAAATGAAGCTGGAAACATTTATTTCCCGATATGAATTTAAAACTTGCAACAAATGTTAATAAAAGCAGGATTTAATGAAGTTACTTGACTGTATATATGGTGGACTGTAATGTAACTGAACCAGTTGTTTTGTAGGTTTGTACTATACTCTACTGTACTGTACTGTTTTCACACTGATATATAACAATAAGAACTAAAATACGTTTAGTAAGTGTGAGAAACATTTACATGTTAAGATCCTATCATGTAACAACAGAAGGCAAGGGTCAGGCAACAGATCATTTATTAAGGAAATCAACGCATATTTATATATTTTCATGTACATTACTATGGATATTTAAGCAAACAAACACAGTCTTCCGATTGGTTGTTTCTCACGTAAAGTTAATCTTTCATCTCTTTGTGACTGTTTCTTGAATGTCAAATCCTCTATATGTTAACTGCATCCGCCTACTCAAAGTCCGCTGTGGTCGGTTTTGAATCAATCTTTGTTCACATTTTCTCACGACAAACCTTTGGAACGTAAATATTGACGTAAATTACTGCCTACCAATTTGGCTAGTAGACAGCTCTCACCACAATCACAGAGTTATGAATATAATGTCTAATACGTACGGCGTAGAGAGTAAGTAAAAGTGAAAAGATGCTACAAAGTGATTATGCATCTCATAATGTTGTTAGATAGGAAGAAATGAAGTCATGAAATCTAACAGAAGCCTATCAATTCAACTAGATATATTATATACATATCTAAATAGCACATACACAAAAGACCATAATAACAGAGGAAACAAAATGAACAGATAAATTAAAAAGACACAAGTGAATAAGAAGTCAATAATTTCAGTAACAAGGATAACTACAATTAAATATGATGAAAACACTTTTGTTTAATAACCAAGAAATTCAAGAGATAATATCCGTGATCTAATGGCTACCACTAATAACTTTTAATAAACGAAATATTCCCATATTGAGTCATAAGAAAAAGGCACAAACAGCGAAGAAAATTTTCTTTTAGATGATTCATTTTCATGAGCTGTACAATCGTAATTATAATTAACAAAGAAATCTTTAGACCAATCAGATAATGGTAAATTTTGTCGTTGGAAAATTGTATTACATAATGTAAGGTGTAATAGAAATATTTGCAGCCTCAAAACGTTTTTCTATACTACAAGATTATTTGCAAAAGATGCAATACTCGATAGCTTTGACTGAACAATACAGCAAATAAAATTCTTTTCTACAATGTCTGAGACATCATATCAAAGAACAAGTGTCATGGTGATAAAAGTAATCATATAAAATCTGAAGAAAACTAAACAATTTTGTCTACAAAATTCACTCATCGTTGCAAGGCACTACTTCAACAAAATCAGCAATGCGACACCTTCTAATCGAATTCACGGAAAATAGTCTTTTTGCTGAACTACTTCTTTTGTTGTTTTCTTCACAATCTCCGTTATCTGAAGGTTTCAGTAATCAAATAAAAATAAATGAGACTATAACTGATAGCTTCACTTAATCTCATCATTAACGTGTATAGACAGAACTAGTTAAATGAGATACTCACAATGTCAAGATCGCATAAATGTGACAACCTATTCTCTTTCTAAGTGTAATTTGCAAACCACTTACAAACTGCAACACACAAAAGATTTCTGACATCAGGAAAGGATTTAACCTAATGTATGTGAGGCTGACAGAGTAGCCCGTCGGAATTACTTAACCAAGATTACAAACTGTTAAATCTCACATAAAAACAATTAACCAACTATCAACATTTATTGCCGAACAAGATGATTAGTTGATACTAGGTGGTTGAAATCAATAATCAGGACACTGCGTCTAAGTTTTTCCACTTATCGATACTCATGAGGACTGTATGCCTACAATCTCAAATAATTAAGGCTTCCATGGATATTAGGACGCGTGTTATCCGGTTTCATGTAAACTCACACAAAACACTGGAGGATTTATAAACATTCAATAATTCAATATACTGAACCAGCCACCTTTCTTTTCATCAAATAAATCTCACTACGTAATGCAACAATAAAAGAAGACAGAAAGATGAGAAAGAAATTGAGTGCAACTGAAATGAAACTTACCGACAACAATTTCGGAAACGTGCATCATCTTTTACAAATACAGATGCAGCAACAGAGATCAACGTATGAAGCTCTTTTTCATCGAGAACTTTACCTAAAATTATTTAATTTTAGTTTGTTTGCCGGAACAAATATAGATAAAAAAAGGATATTTAATTAGTTGTATAGAAATTAAGAAATAAAACTAGCTGCGACAAAGACAGAAACAAAGCGGTTTCAACAAATATTCATTTTTGACCACATATGAGGATCCTTCAAAACGAACATTTAGTACTTAAGTGGTTTGATTTGGTGGAAGGTGGTCAGCAGTGGGATCCAGAATGAGCATTTCGTCAGTTACATGTGCCTGCAACCCTAAGTGACTGATGGTGTTCCCACCGAGACTCTGACTTAGTACTCTTCGTTTCAAACGCCAAAGCATTGTCCAGTAGACCATTTTGACCACCAGTGCCACCCCCACCTTGTGCAACGACCATCACTTATGATTTATTTTTAAGTTGATTCAATTTTCCTGTTACATGATTCGACTGAAATGTTTGGCCTCTACTAACATGTTGGCTACAAGTACAAATGCTTCGATGATGTTTGAGAATTAACTTGAAGTAATTCGCTGGACAATTATTCCTCAGACATCGTCTAAGCATCTGTGCTAGGAGCGAAAATGTCAGCGGACGCTGAACATTTCAGTTCAATCAATCAACATGAAAATCAAAACTGACTCAAAAACAAATAACTTAAATTGTTTGTTCAAATCCAGTTCTAGTGTATAAATTAAAGGATGATAATGAAAAAAATCGAAAAGACGTATGGTAAGAATAACCGAATAGTATCGTGCTCGGCTAATCATCCTAGTCTAGATCACTCATGAGGTCATGAGTGTGTACTGCTACAGTTCTCAAGTAAAATGATAAAGATGCTCAACGTTTCTGGATTTTCAATCGCTCGACAACTTACGTAGTTGAGTGACGCAACCCACCTGAAAATCAGGTCATTGCATGCAATTTCAATAGAACACTTAATTTCCCATTAAGTTATAGAACTGGAGGGAAAGATATGAATTTAAGACAGAACATTAAAACGGCATCTGTGCAAACGAAAGTGGCTAGTTACACTTATCCCATTTAACCAGAAAAAAGAAGAGTTCTTATAATCGTATCTAGCTTGAAGGTGAGGCTCCTGAGGTGGAGAGGTTAAATTGAAAAGTTAATGACCACTGTCTGCATAACTCAAAGTAACTTAAGCTATACTAACTTGAAGAAATGTGGCTATTACTATAACAAACTCTACTATGAATATCCATTTAATATATCTGATGCTCACCAGAGACTGACCCTATTCAGGAAGTTGCCTGGGATTCTAGTGGGAAGCCATGACCAGTAGAGTACAGCAGGTTGAAGGTGAGTACAGTAATTCATCGAAGACATTGCGAAGTGGTCGCGCTATGTCGTGAATTGGCAGAAGTTAGAATTCATGGGTTGGCCATTGGAATGGGTCCCAGTGGCTTAATGGTGTATGAGCTAGCTCGCCTTGTAATCAGGAGGTTCTGTGTTTGAACCCCAGTGGGTGAGTGCTGATGAAGAGTCCCAAACTAGGACGAAACAGTTGTCCAGTACTCCCTGCAGGTTTTCCAATGGTTCTCTAACCGATGTCAGCTAATGGTGAAATCTTCCAACCAATCAAACAAAAATCCCTACGAAACCAATACTTGATAATATCTAAATTCTGTCAAGCATTATGATCTAAAATTATTTTTGTTTAGTAGATTATATATGTTATTATAGGCTAATGATTAACTGGAAATACATTTTTCAACTGTTATAACCTAAGTGTTTCATCAGTAGACGAAAGGTTATCAGCACGTTAAGTTATTTGAATGCATTAAGATACATGGCTGTGAGACCTGGCCATTGAGAGCGGAAGACATGAAAGATTAGCTGTCTTTGATCATAGGTGTATGCGTTCTATCTCCCGCGTGAAGTGGTATAATAAGGTGAGCAATATTGAGGTTAGGCGTCGAGTGCTAGGTAAGGCGGGGAAATCAGTCGACGAGACTGTGAAGCTACATCGACTGAGATGGTTAGGATATGTGTTACGTATGCCTAGTCATCGCCTTCCTCGACGGGCAATGTTAGCTGATTTAGGGTCAGGCTGGAAAAGGGCTAGTGGCGGTCGAACGAAAACATGGCACCAATCAATGAAATCCACAACAGTTAGTCTAAGCCAAGTAGGAAGGTGTAGACTCCCTGGTTGGGGTCCTCGGGACAGTAAAAACCAATGGTTGGAAACAATTGGTGACATGGCTCAAAATCGTCGTTGTCAATGGCGCAGATGCATCCACTCCTTGTGACTTATGATTTCCAATTAAACTGTTTTGTTCTTCGTTATTACTATTCCTTTGTCTCACACCTCTGTTTACTGTCTATATTATGGATTTCTCCTACTTTCTTCTCTTGCTTTGTGTGCTACAAGGAGGGAGTGTGGCGACTTGAACTGCCGCACATATGTGCAAAGTTCTCTGTCGAAAACCGACCGATTAAGATACATGTGGTTGAATTCTACACTATGAGTCATTTTTAATATTTCTAACCGACCAATAACAAGTTGAATGTACATTGTCGACTAAATTGAAATAACTCCCACTTCATTATTAGGCTTACACTGAAACCTTATTATATATGAGTGTAGTTTACATTCGAGAAAAAAAACTTGATACTGTTTCCCTTTCACGCTTATTTAAGACAAAAGATAATGAAGGCCCATTTATTTCAGAGCACAGCTAGTAATAATGAAATTTCTCCATGGGTGATGTGATTACAGTAATATTTTTATCATGACCGAAACTTACAACATAATGGATATACATTACTAAGAGTATTCATAGGTTGGGATATCAATTAAAAGATTGAACAATTATTCAATGAATGCATTCATGTTTAAGATATAAATGATTAGAATCTAGACACTGAAGTACAAGTCCCTAATCCACCATATACTTCATTCACAGTTGACAGAACAGTGACAGCAACATACTAACACATACGAGATATCATACAGTCAGATATATGATACGGGAAAAATAAAAACTTCTTTGAAATAAGACTAACCTTTAAATCCGTCAGGATACACTTCTGGTAGATATTTTGTTGAAATATTTCCAGATACAAAACGTTTCTCAGTAATAATATCCCGAAGTAGTGGGATATTATGCGTTACACCACGAATAACATAACTATCTAAAGCTTTAGCCATTGTATTCAAAGCGCTTTGACGATCTGGTCCATAAGTCACAAGTTTGCATATCATAGGATCATAGTATATGGAAATCTCAGAACCCTCACTAATCCCGCTATCACAACGAACATTAGGAATGTGTAAAGGTTCAATATAAGAGGATAATCGACCGATTGATGGTAAACCAAATGCTTTATATGGATCTTCAGCGTATACACGACATTCAAAAGCCCATCCATGCACAGGAATATCAGACTGATTGTTATACGTAAAAAAAATAATTTAAAAAGATGCATGGAAACAGTATATAAGTGATAATGTATTCAGTACTACATTAGAATCATTAACATGATAGTTTATTGAATTGTTTAACCTTTAAACAGGCAATTGATGCATCCTAACACTGATAACATCCTAATAAGACAACGACAACCACAAAGTCTTAACGATAACACGTGGAACACCTCATAATTATTGAAATATCCTATTAGTGTTAACATTGCTGTGTAAAAGAACGTTGTCGCATAAACTAAATCACCTGTCAATATTACGGTTAGATCATTTTCTTTTCCCAGTCATATTGGTGAACTATGAACTCACGACAGATGATTGGTGCAGTTGAAGGGAACGGTAATCATGATCAGTTTTAACACGTTTAACTCACAGTTTAATAGTTTAGACTGAAATGTAAAACAGCAATAGAAAAAACGCCACGCCATATGTTCTTCGTTATGTTAAGATAATAGCACAGACAGTTTGAACTACACAATTAAAAAGATTACGTTGATCATTGAAGGAAAGAATCAGCAAGCTGTCTGAACTGACAGTATATCCCATACTTTATTCTAAATATGTTTGTAACTATTGTCTACACATAATGATAAGTTTTAGTTTTGACAATGTTTCGAGGGAAATTAAAAATGAGACAATTCTATGAGTTGGTGTAATCACTGGGACTGATTTAACTGTGAATATTGCCATCATTAAAGCTAACCAATGCGTATAAACAATCATTACAAATACACCTATATTATAATATGTAATTACAGTAAACTGATCTTCCCCACAATGCATAAAACTTTAAAAACATTAATATCCCTTTTGTTGATGAAATATTCAAAGATATCTTAGATAGTTTCACTATAAGAGTTGAAAGATATTAGGATATTTGTGTCCTAAATCTAGTTTATTCATAATCTAATGTATCTGATTAGATTAATAAAATGCTAGATTCTGTCAATCACTATGTTTACTGACTGTGTCATAAAATATGTTGCTGAGCTACTCAGAAATCAGAGGATTATGAGTAAACTAGAAGTTAGACACACCTCTCAGATGGATTTGAACAGCCTAACAATATGCCTTATCAAGTGCTTAGTTTGTAGGGATTTGATTCGTCACAGATTCGACCACGAGTTGACATTAGTTAGCGAACCATTGAAAGACATGAGAGTACTGGACAGTTGTTCCGTCCTAGACTGGGACTCTTCGTTAGTACCCACCCACTGGGGTTCGAACCCAGGACTTTCCGGTTGCGCTATATATATATATACATATATCGCGAATATGCCTTATATGGTCAGTCCATGTCTTTATAATAAAACGAAAATTGAGTGTAATTAAGCGATTAAAGTGATTGATTATTCCTAGTATGCTTTACTGCATACACTAGACTGTATATGCCACACTTGATGTGCGATAACTTATAATAATGCATCGCTGTTTCGGGTCGAAGTAAGTCAAATGAAGTCTACACAAGTTGGTTAAAAGTCAAGTTATTTAAGCAAATAAGATAAATCTGCACTGAATTAATAAAATAACAAAGAAAGAAGTTCATATGCCTAATTCCCTAGACTAGTCTGAACAAGGCAACACTAAATCTATTTGTAGGATAAAATAAATAATTTTTTTTTACAAAATAACTTTTGTTCAACTCCTTAACAGCCTTAAAATGATATAATTTATTATAAATGCAAATAACATACACAACACATTTCAAACATTATCTCAATTCAAATGGCATACTACTAAAACAATAGGCATGAGTACAAGCTAGTTAGTAATCTAATAACCAGACTTTATTCATACATAGTATGATGGGAATTACGACAGAAGAAAGTGGAACTGAAAAGAAAAAAGAAAAGTAAAAGCGAAATTATTACGTAAACAAGCAATTGTGCAAATAGGAGTATTAGGCTGTTGGCAGCTGGAGAAATGCCAGAAGAGAAGTAAGTTCGTCTATTATTATTATTCCCTTGGGTTCCAAGTGGAACATAGGGCTTCAACAACACACCTCCACTTTGCTCTATTTTCTGCCATCCTCTTTACCTGGGTCCAGGTTTGTCCATAATCTCCCATCTCTTCCTCATATGATCTCCTTCATGTCACCCTCGCACCGACGACCCACTAGTTGCTTCCCATTCGGATTTCACTCCAGGGCCTGGCGTGCGATGTCATTCGGCGGCCTTCTCAATGTATGTCTGATCCATCTCCATTTTCTCCTACATATTTGTTGAGCGACCGACTCTCGCCTATTGGCTTGTTCCTAGAGTTTCTTGTTGCTTATTCTTTCTGGCCATTTGATCTTCAGTATGGAGCCAGCGAAGGCGAATGTTGATGAAAGTCTACAGTAGCGTGTTGGGAACCCTTTTCGTAACATGATACATTTCTGACAGGTATAGAAGGACCGACTTCACATTTGTGTTGAAAATCCGAATCTTGTTCTTTATGGTGAGTGCAGAAGATTTGCAAACTGGTTTCAGGTTGATGATGGTGTATCTTGCCTTTCCAATTCTGGCTGGCTTCGACATCTTCATCCGTTTCCACTATGATTGAAACAATGCTTCCTAGATAAGTGAAGAAAGTGACCTCTTTCAAATTCATCCCGTCGATAGTGATTAGTGCTGTTTGTTGTCACTCTTGGTTGGTTATCTTCATCACCTCCGACTTCTCTATGTTTACCCGGAGTCCTGTCTTCACTGTCTGCCTTTTCAGCAATAAGTAATTATGAAGACTGAATGGAAGAATAAAACTTCTTCACCATAGTAAAATATAATTTCATATTAGTTTATTTACTTGATAAAGCACACAGTGATTATGTTTCAATTACTAGATGACATTCCTAGCACAATTTATTTTTCATAATTATTATATTAAGGTAGTCGTCATACAACTTTAAAATTCAATCTTCATAATTACTTATTGCTGAAAAGGCAGACAGTGAAGACATGACTCCGGGTAAACATAGAGAAGTCGGAGGTGATGAAGATAACCAACCAAGAGTGACAACAAACAGCACTAATCACTATCGACGGGATAAATTTGAAAGAGGTCACTTTCTTCACTTATCTAGGAAGCATTGTTTCAGTCACAGTGGAAACGGATGAAGATGTCGAAGCCAGCCAGAATTGGAAAGGCAAGATACGCCTTCATCAATCTGAAATCTGTACCGGTGGCAGAGTAGTAGAACGCTCGCCGACCACGCATATGGTTCGGGGTCCGATCCCTGGCCGACGCACTCCTCAAACTCGCTAGGCCAGTAGTAAGACTGTTAAGAGGGCAGGTTGGGAATGAGGCTAGCAACCCAATCCCGTAGAAATAAACAACACTGCTTCCAAAACTTCAAGCCTCTAGCTTGAAGCCCTATGTTCCACTGGGAACGTAAAGGAATAAAAATACAGAAATCTGAAATAGGCTTGGAAATCTTTAGCACTCATCCTCAGCATAAATAACAAGATTCGGATTTTTAACACACATGTGAAGTCATTCAGTTCTCCTATATAGGTCAAAACATGGCGCATCACGGAAAGCATTCTCAACTTGCTGTACACTTTCATCAACAGCTGCTTTCACTGGCTCTATACTGAAGATCAAATGGCCAGCCAGGCGGCAAGAAAGAATTAGCAGAAAGAAACTCTGGCTGGCAACAAACCAACCAACAGCCTATCGTTCAACAAATATGTAGGAGAAAATGGAGATGGATCGGACTTACATTGAGGAGGCCGCCGAATGACATCGCACGCTAGGCCCTGGAGTGAAATCCAAATGGGAAGCGACGAGTGGGTCGTCGGTGTGAGGGTGACATGGAGGAGGTCGTGTGGCGAGGAGGAGATGGGAGATTATGGTCAATCGTGAACCCAGCTGAAGAGGACAGTGAAAAAGAACAGAGTGCAGATGTGTTGTTGAAGCCCTATGTTCTACTCGGAACCCAAGGGAACAATAACAATATATATCCTGGGATGTCTTGACTTCGCTGTCTGCCTCTTCTGACAGCTTGTTGGTTTTCGCCTGCAAGTCTTCGAGGTTGTGCGACGTTAAACATAAATCATCCACGCGTGAAATCCGCATCTTCCAGAGTCTTCTTATCGGTGGTCCAACTTACTCCTGTCCCCTCGCTCCCCACAGTCTGGCGCATAATCCAGTCCACCACAATTACGGATATCATCAGTGATAATAGGCAGTTTTGTCTTACTTATGTGTTCACTATTTCAAAGGCTCCTCTGAGTTTTCCGTTGTGGATCCCCTGGCACATGGCATTGTCATAAAGCCAGCTGTTGAATGAGGTTGATAAAGACTTGGGCGCTGCATGCCGTTGTGTTGAAGTAGTTCCCAAATTACTTCTCGTCTATAAGTTATATATGTCATATGAAAAGCAAATAATGCCATCGAGCTTCTAAAAATTTAAGTATATGAATTCAGGTTTCTAACATCTTCCATAACCTGTAGATGTAATAATGCATTTCATGTTGATTACTTGTGTTAATAATAATAATACCACCACCTCAACAACAACTGCTATTAGCAATACACCAATGCCGTAAAATTTGGCTACATAAATACAAATAAATGCAAGAAAGAAAGGGCCTAGTGAAGACTTAAATTAACGTATGCATAGTAAAATAAAATAAATTCCTTGTTCACCCAAAATATATATCTTGTCAATAAACTAGTTCAACAACAAACAAACTGAAAAAAAAACTCCATCTAAATACAATCGATTGAAAAAAACGAAATGAATGAAAAACGAGTTTATCACTTAAAAAGTTTACAAAACAAATCGATTGATTTCAAAGTCATTTTCATCACAAAGTGTTGTAGATCAGAGGACTGTTGAAAACCAAAAAAGAGCACTAGGTATTTCCTGCCTTCTGCTATGTGAATTTTCAGAAGTATGTGTTCTCAACAATAAGGCTTAATTATACACTAATTACTGTTTGCATCACGTTGAGTTTAACAAAACAAAAATGAGATAAAATAGCTGTTCACTATTCCTTAGTTTTCAACAGCTATCCAGTTAATATCAAGTTTTTAGTTAAATACACACTTGAAAATTAGTTTTCCACGTATGTTTCATATCTTAAGAGGAACACAAATAATCCCTACTACTGTTGATAGAGTTCAAGTGAAGGAGTTTACTGAAATTATCGTATCAGTAATCCATATTTAGTTTGATCAAGGAGTGATGTCAGCTGGAGGTAAAAGCTGAAAACCAGGGTGTAATGGACATATGTTTCGTCATGGCTTGAGACTCCTCATCATTACGCAACCACGGCCCGACCTAGGATCGAACACATGGTGTTTAGGTTGACCATTCAGCCACGAGGGCCACAGTTAATCACATGCTTACTAGTGACTGGCTACAGGAGAAAGTTGCCTGGAGTTCTAGTGAGAAGCAGTGGCCAGTGGGGTTCACTAGGTTGGGTATATGGACAAATGCTCGCCGATGACACTGACTGGCGATCACGCTAAAATCGCAAATTGACAGGAGTTAGAATTTATAGGCCATTGAATTCCAACTCAAGTGGCTAAGCCTCATGAGCTGAAGGTCCTAGATTCGTCCTCCAGTGGGGTCGTAGGTGCGTGCTACTGAAGAGTTCTAAACTAGGATGAAACAGCGGTTCAATACTTTCAGGTTTTCAGTGGTTCTCTAACTAACATCAATCCATGATCGAACTTAAAACAAATCAAATCCATACAAATTAACTCTTAAAAATTAATCCATATTACTTGACTCAACAACACACATTCAGTACATTTTTCTTATTATTATTGATAAATTAAAGTTGCATTATTCATTACTTATTTCATTTAATATTACTTAGTCATTTACATTGGATATTTTATCAGTCAATATCCAGTGGAGAAAAATAAATATAAATACAAAAATGAGAACGTTGGAAAAAAGGGACAAGATATACAGCATAGGCTTTGTTCTTCTCTCTTTGAAAAAGATGACACCAAGCGAATAGGTGGTTTTAATTCTTTTTTAAATGGTTTAAACAAAAAGTTATGCCTATGTCAATGTATAAGATCGGTAAGGTTCCGAAATTACTCTAATTGAGTTATCTACAAACGTTTAATATACACGGACGTGCATAAACTGTGATTTGAAACTTATAGGTATTTTGATCAAGTTTAGACATAATATTTCTGCATAGAAGTGGGTGCCAGGCGAAAAGTAGACATATATTTAAATTGTTCCACCGTTCAATAAACCTGTCTACTCCAGGGAAATCAACAAAATTAAAAAGTGTCAGTAGTGTGTATGTAGGTCAAACTCCTTGTCTAGTCATGCCCTAACGGTCTTCAAAGTCAAAATGATTACTCTTTTATTATTTACTGTAAACAATTCGTGTTGGCGTACTCCTATATGTTATCGTTTAAGGATCATGATAACATGGAAGGTCTAATGTATGCGTTAAAGAATGATGTGTTTAGAAATGCACCATACACGCATATAGTTTATAGTTGGCAATATGAATTTATCGTTTTGGCTTTGAAAACTATCCATAGATTAAATACGATTCTACAAGAAGACAATACAAGAAGTGACCCCCCTGTTTACATACATACATACATACATACATACATTAGGCATTAGACTTTGACTATTTATTTCCCTGAAGATGTTCGGAACAGTTTACAGAACGAAATATTGGAATTGCTTATTTCAAAAATTCTGAAATCTCTATAGATATAATCTATCTAAGTTGTATACAACACTGAATATATCATATTTATGTGTAGGATTAAATCCAAGACGGTTTGAACTCATGACAGTTTACTGTAGAAGGCTAACTTTGCACAAAGGTTTATGCAGTTCCAGCTATCACATTTCGAAGACGTAGAGGAAACAAAATATGGTGAGATGACAGAGGGTGAAGATGTACAAGAAAGAGAACAATTAGGTGAAGAATATTGAAAATTTTTTTTAGAATTTGGATGATGATGATAATAAGGAGTGAATACCTGAGTATCATTGCAAAAGGTTTTGATCCATATCAAAAAGATTCTGAAACCAACAGTCAAATACTTCATGAATTAGTGGCATAATTTCGTCCGACCAATCCCAACTGTTTTCCAACATGGCCCAATTTCAGCTCTCATTGTTCATCAACAAAGTCAGTAATTCGGCATGCGTAAGACATAACTTTCAACTATCTCAATCGATGCAGTTTCACAATCTCATCGATTGACTTTCCCTCATAACCTATCACTCTATGTCTCACCATATTGACCCATATAACAAAAGAGATTGAATAGAGACACAAATAGTTAAAATCTGTCAATCTTTTCATATTTTCAACTTTCAACATCCATATCTCATAGTTGTAGAGGAGTACGAGGTGAAACGTTGCACAAAAACGTGTCCTTTTGCATTTGACATTATTGTTGTTCCCTTGGGTTCCTAGTGGAACAATGGCTTCCATTAATACCTGTCCTCTACAGTCTTCCTTAGTTGGCTTCATGATTGGCCCATAAGCACTTATTTCCTCCATGTCATCCTCCGAAACCAAATAGGAGACATAGGTGGAGCATACTGAAAGATGACGAATAAGCCGAGATTTTCTCAGCATCCAATCTACTAGGACTGATGCAATTTTCTTAAATCAGTTAAATGATATACGCATCCAAGCATTTCACTGCTTCAATTTTTAAATAAATGTATACACAATTATATTCATGTGAGTGATGTGATATGATTGACAATTTATGCCTGAAATATTATCAGTTGAAATAAATAACACTTTATCCTTTCTTAAGACTATAGGGAATAAACTAACGCGTTATGAAATCGCAACACATAAGGAGTTTGTACATGCTCACTTCAACAGAAACAAAAAACAGTACATGAATAAAAAGAAAGAAGTGTTAAGTAATTTCTTTAAAAGAAAACAAATACACAAACGAAAAACTGAATAAAGCATTCATTAAAATATTTCAACAAATTACCTCGACTAATAGTGTCTAAGCAATAATACTACCTAAATAGATTTAAGTATGGTGTAATAAATAAAAGCCAATTAAACAACATAACTAATAGAATAAAATAAGATAATTATAAATAACAACTCCAAGGTTGACAGTGTGTAAAGGAAACATTAGACAGTTTACATTTTCCTTTAAGAGATATCAGAAAAGTGTCAGTTATCTGCTAGAGGTAAACCAATATACTTGTCCGGTCATAACAATACTGCTGATCTGAACCTTTTCGAAGGTACATAAAAAGTAATCACTGAAATACGAGACGCGACACTATTGCATACTGTAGCGCAATTATTTTTTGTTTCTAGCTACTAAGATGCACTATACAACAAGCCGTGGATTTGCATATCGTGACCAGCAGGACGCGACTGTAACTTTGAAGGAATTTATCTTCTTTTCAACAACCAAAATTGTATCACTCAGTGTTGTAGGCAATGATACAGTCATGATTAACCTATGCGGCACTGACTGATGCACATAATTGAGTACGAAGTTATTTTTTAGTTAGTTATTTAATGACATAACTCGAAAATTGAGTATTGACACGTTTTATATGCTATGAGTTGCGGCTGTTATATGAGCTTAGTTGATATCACTCGACTGAGCAGACATAGGCAAGAAGACAAAGTTCACGATAGTGACACAAAACTTAGGACATGCAATACTTAACTTAGTGACAGAATTATCATTACATAGTCTGTGTAAAACTATAAAAAATGGAGACCTCTCACCACTTAACACAGCGTCTTCGATGATGATATAAGTGAACAACTTGAACGAATAACGACTTCATCTTAATACAGACTTCACAACTTGTTGTAACTCTACAGATGAGCAGATAAATGATGTCCAAATTGTGGATTTGGGGAGTTTCGATTAGTTTCAAGATACATTCTACCACAAACTAACATCAGCTACAGAATTACCGAAAACCAAAGGGTAAAGCAGTTGGAAATCATGAACCAGAAAATTCTGACCCAGTGGCTGGATGGATGGTAAGCTGAAGACTCTGGGCTCGGATCATCATGAAATTGTGGGAGAGCAGCACTGAAAGATCCAGTGCTTCTTAGTTTTCAATTGTTTCTGTTGACACCAGTGTACGATAAAATCTACTTTGAAACCAATAGGATTCTCACAAAATTAATATCTGGAATTTACCCTAAGTAGAGCGATGACATAAAAGACTTAAGATATTATTTATGTTAAACTATAAAACATCAAAATTACCCATCTAGGCTTACCTGTGATAGTAGTATGCGATGTCCTTTACCCACTCGAAGCATTTGATGAACAATATCTACGCCAGTAATACATTCAGTGATTGGATGCTCCACTTGAAGTCGAGTATTCATTTCAAGGAAATAAAAATTTCTTTTGGAATCAACTAAAAATTCCACCGTTCCTAGATAATTTTCCATTGCAAGAAATAACATGGGCACAGTTTAACATAATTATATATATATATATATATATATATATATGTATATATATAACTTCATCAACGTTATCATCTCAAATGAAGTAGACTAGTCTGTTCTTCCTTTAGTTAGCAACTTGCACTATAGTATTACTGTGATTTGGAAACTTGAGGTCACTGTTCAGTTAGACTTTTTGGACAGAGTGGTGATGTAAATAGTGATTTTATTATTATGGATAGCTTGGTTAACTGCTCCACTTTGGAAAGTATAAAGCTTTGCACAAAAGATATTCGACAATGAATTCTGATAAATTTACGCAATTATTCAGACTGATGAAAGAAAAGAAAGTTTCTTAAAAGTACACCCAATGAGTATCTGACTGACACAAGAGAATAATCTTTCATAAATTATCGTTTCAAGAGGTATGAATCACACAGTTATGATTTAGAATTTAATCCTTGCATCCAACTTACTAAACTCACGTTTTGTACTATATGATTAAGCTTAATATCATAGATATTATATCTCTTCTTCAAAATAGTGTGAAACCGGCGTTAGAGTGATGCTAATTTTATATCTTAAATTTACATTTGTTTACCAGAGGTGGTAGATAGATATATCTGTCATAGACATCAATAAAACGATACGGTTGGATTGCAAATAGTCATTTTTTCAGAGTAATTAATACATTGTAGTGCTGGAAAAAAATTCACTTCACAATACTGGCATTAATTTACTCTCATCGTTAAATCTGTTAGGTAGAATAACTTTCCCAGTCTTCAATGAAAATTTTAGCTTAATAACATTGTGGTGGTGTGATACAGACAACGTGTGTCAATGGAATATGATTCTCACATATTCCCACAGTTCAATACTGCATTAGCAACAGAATACTATATATGCATTTGAACATTCTATTTCATGTCGTTTAATGTAAACCAAAATCACATGCTCAGTGACTGGTTAAAGAATATAAAACTGCATACGTATATAAATAGCTGTCTGATCACTTGAAAATATACCTTTTCTTCTCTGTCTTGCCTTCTATTGTTACAATACCAATATGAGACTCTATTTTTAGTTAGCGTTTTTATTTTATTTGTAAAATGAACAATATAAGCGTCTTTCACAACTACCTTATTCCCAAATTAGGTGCGTTAATCTCCTACAGCCAACAATTATATAGTATTAATAACTTGATAACGTTTCGAGCATAATTTATCGTTCATAATCATTATGTCTAAATAGTACTCTTATTATTAATATCTTGATTTGCTGGATAACCGGTTGATTGGATTTTTAGGCTTCTCATATTCAGCTTTTTATTTTGGTGGATTACAGGGCTGCTAAATGATTTCCTTAAATTATACCAATAATTGTTAATTATATTGTTGTAACAACAGAAGGCAAGACACAGAAGAAAAGGCATATTTTCAAGTGGTCAAACTGCCATTTATATACGTATGCAGTTTTATATTCTTTAACCAATCACTGAGATTGTGATTTTGGTTTACATTAAACGATATGAAATAGAATGTTTAAGTGCATATATAGTATACTGTTGCTAATGCAGTATTGAACTGTGGGAATATGTGAGAATAAAATACCACTGAAACGCATTATCTGTTTCACACCGCCACAGTATCACTTAATTTACTGAAAAATACCATCTGATCCAATAATCTTTGAATATTGAAGTGATATGCACGTATGTGCATATATTACAGACTGATATCATGTTAGTTTTGTTGGTGTTCGAACTACTTAAGTGGTAGAACTGACAATAACGCCTAAACTGACATTGGAGACTTTACGAAGAACTCAACTTTAGAAAGTGATGGAATTAACACAGCATCCATAACCGGAAGTTGTAAATATTTACCATTGTAACTAATATGTGATCATACAGTAAGGCGAAATAGCTTAGTCATTTAAAACTACAAAAATATCATAATTACCTAGCATATACAATAAGATATTTTAACGTACCAGCTGAATCATAACCAACTGCTTTCGCTAACGAAACAGCTTGTTCACCCATTGCTTTACGTGTTGGTGGATCAATGAATGTGCTAGGCGCTTCTTCAATAACTTTTTGATTTCGCCTCTGAATTGAACACTCACGTTCATTAAGATAAATCGCGTTTCCATGTCTATCGCATAGTACCTAGATGATAAAAGATAATATATATATATATATATATAAACTAGGATAATCAATGACTTACACCAGCTCAACGGGACTATCTCTGTTGCGCACAGATTGGTTAATATCTTAGTTCACCCGGGCAAGAGTTCGCTACCACCCTCCTTAAACACCTCTAAAGTAATCCCATTAGGTCCCATTTCTTTACTTCGACACAGAATGTAGATAGCTTTTGCCACCTCAGTTACAGTTTGAGGACTGAAGTTTACATCCCACACAGCCAAGTATTGCATACTGCGGAAACTTAGTTTGGCCATAGGCTAGCTAAATTGCTCCTGGAATTTTTCACTCCGACCGTCTTTTTGTCTATCCTGAGAAGTAACTGAGGTGCCGTCTTTTTCAGGAATTGTTTCACTTATTGTTGGCTTTTTACAACCTGTTTCTTTAGTGAGTCAAAATAGTTGTCCGGTGTTGTCTATAGCCGTTGATAAGATTTCCATACAGATATATCACTATAACCCACTTCAAACGCACATTTTGTATGACCGGCCTCAAGCAGTTGTCTCCTGGACTCTGCGACCATACAACACTAGTGTTCTTTGAATTTCAGGTATTTCAAAAAGAGGTCGGCTTCCACGGTAAAGGTAGTCAGGAAGCAATGACCTCAACCACTTTCTAAAGCACTGTCAAGGCTTTCAAGTGAACACATTTTACTACAAATTAATGAGAAATATGCCGTTGCATCGTCCTAGACTAACAATGACCATTGATGTCAGTAAAAAATCGATGACTCTCAGTACTGAAAAACAGGACATTCACATGTGAATAAACTAAACAGATGAGAGGTTGGCGGTATGGGGTGACAAGGGATCACAATTTGGTAAACAATAACTGTTCACGTTTTGTGTTTGATTCCCAGTAAGTTTTTAATGTATTACGCATTATAAAACTTCAATAAATCACTTCCTTTGGAAAATTGAGTCGGTTTAAATTTAGCAAATATAAATATAATAATACAGTAAGGACTCTTGGTATTAATAAGCTTGATTCTAATTCTTTGAAAAAATTTTGCCATGTTATAAAATGCGACAAAAGCAATAAGAGAAAACAATCGGATTTGTTCTGAGTTTTCAGCTATTATTTTACTGTAGAGTAGCTCACAGACAATTCTGGCAAGGCATTTATCCACTTTTTATCGGTAAAAATTAGCGTCGCAGGAATCCCCTGTTATTTTGTCCTTCAGAGACATCACAAAGTTAAACAATACTAAGGTAACACCATAACTCTACTTTTCCCTATTCCCTCATAGGACTGAAAAGCACCATATGGAAAGTAACCTTAACGTCGTAAAAAATAAATTAGGTCCAAAACGTCATTCAATCAATATTACTATTTTTTCACTACATGACATGTCTAACAAACTACCACAGTATCCAGGTTCTACTGATATAATATAGTAATCATTTCCCCTCATCAAAATGCACAGTGCCTTCATTCTTTTCAAGAAGTCACAAAGATGGCCAATCTGTAAAGTGTCAGGTGCATAAAACTGTCGCATTAGTAGTTCTAGACTGTGCCTATGAGGCATGATTCTTAGATAATTGTCCTAGATATTTCGGCAGGATTCTTTTTATCGGGTAGAAATATAATGTAAGTAATTTGTGGTGTATGTTACAATCTGATGGAAATCATAGTTGGAAAAGCTAAATAGATTTAGAGTGGTCTAAATGCGATTTGTTTTTGTTGTTGTCGTTTTTATGATGATACATTTACTAATCATTGTTTACTGCCTCTGGAAATGATTGAAAGAGGCAGCCATACAAGCTAGCTCATGACATCAGAATTAAAGGACAATAATTACGTTTGACTGGTATCACTAGGTACAAAATAACTCTTGTATTATGTGATACGAAATAGGCAAGTCATTGGCTATAATAGTTATCAGATAAGACTTAGAAACAAAATAGATGATAGTTATGCTGCACTTTGCTTTTCTTCCATTTTTCAGCAGGACAGTAAAGTAGTGCCAGGATTTGAGTGTGTTTTACGTGTTTGTGCTGATTACTCCATACACTTATAGTCTTCAGTAAAATTTACGTTGTTCTATTATATATTACTTTGTGTGCAGAATAAAATAAATAGTCGAGTCAAACATTCACATGTCGAATTGTACGCCGTTAATCAAAGTTCAGGAACATAAAATTTAATATAATAATATAGGCAAACTAGCCTTAAGATTAATACTTTGTCCTATATATTATTGTGCAGAACTCTAACCTGGAACAACTCCAACGTTTTGTATTAACTGTGATTAAGACAGAAAAGTAATCGTTAGAATACATCAGCATTTTCGCCTTATTAACCAGCTATTTTTACAGATGTAGTTGCATTCAATAACACAAAAGGAACTTCAATGACCAGACTAAAATATTTTCGGTGTGATTTGTGTGTAGAATTATAGTTTATAACAAGGGCCTTAAAAACTGAGTATTATGCTTACAGACTTTAGGTTACATGGTTCTTAATCGATCCAAGTGACAGAATTACAAACACTTTAACGTTATGTGCTCATTTAAAACATGAGAATGTTTTCTTTGCTCATTTTATTTTATTGTCTTCTTATGTCAAAGTTTGGATTCCTCTTTCTTACCTCCTGGCTAACAGAGGAAGTAAGACAGATAGGTTTTGAGCAGAATATACAATGGAGGAAAGATTAATTAAAAGCTTACTAATCAGTTATACTTTGACGAGTAAAACAGAATGAAAGAAATGGTGATAAATTTAATATTGGTATTATAAACTATCTGAGGATTCTTTAACTACAACCTGAAGCTTCCATACACAGAAGAGACGAATATACTGAAAGTTTATAAAGAAACGATATCAAGACGCCACTTGATTGTTTTTCTGACTGATTTCTCCTGACTGCCAATATCGAAATTGTAATACCCTCAAAATGTGAATTATTAAACTCCGAACAGAAGAAAAGTAGCACGCAACAATAAAATTACCTGTATTTCAATGTGTCTGGGATTATCTATAAATTTTTCAATTAGCATACGATCATCGCCAAAACTGGCTTTTGCCTCAGACTTAGAAAGTCGATAGCCTTCACGAGCTTCCTTTTCATTCCAAGCTATACGCATCCCTTTTCCCCCTCCACCTGCGGAAGCTTTGATCATAACTGGATAACCTGCAGGATAAAAGGAAAAATGTTTGAAATACCATTCTATGGGGTATACAGCGTATAGAAGAAATAATCACAACTGCTTCAAAAATAGGCACCATTTTCATTAGGATTATACTGGTTTGGTGGTGGCCAGCAGTAATTTTGAGTTTATAATCCTGGAAATATCAAGGAATCTGTTTAAAGAGTTCATATACTGAAGTAAAGCTGGTCGATGCAATTAGATATGTCAACGGAAAATTATAAACATGAATAAATGATTTCAAACTATATCTGTTGAACAATAGATGACTTTTGTGGCTTAGTGGATTGAGCATTTGCGTTTGAAGCTGTTGACAGGGGGTTCGAGTTCCAGCAGGTACACCATTACTTACTAGAAAGCATATACATCTAGCTGATAAGTCCCAAGTAGTACAAAAAGCGAGTCCTCGATTCCCCCGCTGGCTACCACTAAACCAGTAAGTCTGATATACTCACTTAGCTGATATTAGAACTTTTCAATAGAATATAATACATCTATTAAAAATATAAATCACATAAAATTCAGACAAGTAGGAGGTCCATCTAACAATTCACTACCTATAAATTATTCAGTTATGATACACTTCATAATATGCCTCACTTGCATACTCTTAAGTCCTTAGACTTTCAAATGTACATTTATATATTGAAACATATTTGATGACAGAGGATAATACTTGTAGGTTAAGAATAATAAGACTTGTGAGTATGAAAAAGGATATTGAATAATATTTTTACCAATTTCTGCAGCTATTCTAGCAGCTTCATCGGGGCCATCCACTTCTCCATCATATCCTGGAATACAACTAACTCTTGCCTGGTGTGCTATTCGCTTGCTCTCAATTTTATCACCCATAGATTTTATAGCCTTTGAATTAGGACCAAGAAATACAACATTCATTTTCTCCAGCTCTGCAGCAAAGACAGTATTTTCTGATAAAAATCCATAACCAGGATGAACTGCTTGAGCACCTGTTGACTTCACTGCATCTAATATTGCAGGCATATTTAAATATGAGCGAGCACTTGGTGCTGGTCCAACACAAATTGCTTCATCAGCCATGGACACAAAGCGTGACAAATAATCTGCCTCACTGTGAATAGCAACGGTACGAATTCCAAGTCGTTTGCACGACTGAATTATCCGACATGCAATTTCACCCCGGTTTGCTATAAGCACCTTTTCGAATTTCTGAAAAACAAAAGAACTTAGTAATTAAAATAGTCACATTACTGTGAAATGGTACAGTACCATTAATGCAGAGAGTGAAATAATTAAACTCTTGATTAAACCCACCGATCACTACTTCGCTGGTCTATAAGGCTTTTATCGCTACATGACGCTGCTGATCACGGACTTCCTCAGTGACTGTTATTGGTCTGTATGGCTGTAGGCCACAGAGATAAACAAGACTGTTCAGTTCCAGCTGTATAGACTGGACCACCTGAAGATTCTTATTGGATGCAACTGAAGCAGATTATTTTTGGGTAACGTTTGTGTTTCAGTATATATATATATATATTTCTATTTAACTGATTGAGAAAAGTAAGCTTTAACCCTCAATAAAACTGCGTTAATGGCTACTATAATAAGTCTACATGCTAACAATTCATTAACAAATCCTGCATAAATATCACGCAATTTTATTTAATATATTTACTCTTACAAGTGTCAATGTAAAATCTAACTCTAAGTGTAACGCTGCAGGAATCTAAAGACCCCTAATAAGAGCTGGTCTTGACCAATATACTAAAGTGAGAATTAGAAAGTATCAGAGGTGATTAAATTTCAAGTTTTAAAAGTACCAAACCCATTCAATAAGATCACAGTTGTGCTTAGAAACATCATAAATTATGAAATTAAGAGGTGACTACATATACCCCACAGAATAGTTCATTCAGACCACTAACTCTATGTAGGCAAACCCCATAAAAAGTCGTTAAAGTTAAAAAAACCTTAATATCTTGAATACTTACATTGTCACTCATAAATTAGTTTTCAATTTTTAAAAAAGCGCTGGAAACAGTTATCATCGACGTTAGACCAACGTGCATACTTTAACAACATAAAGCCCTAGATAGCATGTAAAAGAAAATTATCTCATCTCTTATGCCCCAATTAATCGAAATCACCCACACGCTCCTCGCTGACATTCTGTGTGTTGCACTTGCCAGTCACAGCTATATTTGGCAGACCACATATGAGTCGGAATGCAAAAGTCTACATATCCGTCTTTTAATCTCAGGAACTAGTTTTAAGGTGCGGTCTTCGACTTTTATGTGAGAATCGTGATATTATTTGGCTTTTCAAAATTAAGTAAGCGAAGAAGATTGCAAACACAACCCGATAAATCAAATTTAAGTGAAAAATTCAATGAATTGCAGCTTCAAAAAGGTTCATTACAGAAGTGGAGTATGAAACGGTTTATCACCAGCAGAAATAATGTGACTAATTAGTCACATGAACTCGGAACTTTGGACAGAATTGATTCAGTTCAACTCGCTAAACGTCCAGAAAGCATGAGTAGAATAAAAGGAACCGTATTCATGTCGCAGTTGCATATATATGCAGAGAGAGAAGGAGACAGCAAGAATAGTACTTCTGCAGTACTAATTGGAGTATCTCAGGGAACTGAACTTGGCCCCCTATTATACGTAAATGAACTACCGAAGATTCTCACCTCTTCTTCCCTACTATTTGCGGACGATATTAAGAAATGGAAAACCGTAAATAGTAACGATGATAGGTCGGCACTACAAAACGATCTAGATAAATAAGCTGCATGAGCTAACATTTAGAGTCTGGAAATTAATTCTAAGAAAAGCGAGGTAATACACCCAGGTCAAAAGTCTTACACTTCGTACTCCCTGGGGGACACATAACTGCCATATGTTAGGGGACAAAAGGACTTAGGAATTATTGTAAGCTATGACTTAAATACAACGCCAAATTGTAATCGAGCAGCAGCTAATGCTTTTCGAATGCTACAGGCAATTTGAAGGGCTTTCAAACGATTAGACGAGGGCATGTTTCAAGTACTCTATGAAACATATGTCAGACTTCACCTAGAATACTGTATACAAGCGGTGTCCATACTTCAAAAAGGAGGCACATATCCTGGAAAGAGTACAGATAGTAGAAATCAAATTAGTTAGTGGTACCTCACATCTTCCTTACGATAAGAGGATAGAGCATTTAAGTCTCTTCCCACTATCATATCGAAGGAGGAGAGGCGACTTAATTTTGGCTTACCGTATATTCAAGGGTGACTCAGGGATTGACCTTTAAAGCCTTTTATCTCCCTCTAGGATACATTTACGAGGTTACCACAAGAAGGTGCTCAAACCGAAGTCGAATAAAATACGTGTGGAATTTAGATTCTCTCACAGAGTGGTCAACGACTGGAGCTCCTTATCTGATTCAGTAGTAACAGCTCCATCGATGAACGCTTTCAAAGAGAAACTGGATCTCTGCAGAGATATATATCTCAAGGATTAACATAGGCAACAAAAGCCTTCTATCCTTATAACCTGAATCTGAAAATTTTGGTGAGTTGTCAGTTCTGACCGTTTATATGCTGAATGATGAAAATACTGTCCATAGACAGCGATACACACAGTGTTGCGACAATACCTAGTGTTTAATCAGACTGATATACACATGCGCTTCTCGAAATGAAGTAACAGTAACACTGAAATTACCTGCTCATTCTGATCATGGCGATCGTTCCAGTAAATTTCTCTGCAAGCTGTCAACGACAATGACAGTCTTCTTAAAGATACGCTGAAAACCATGAATGAAGCCTAGAAAATGCCAGCTTAGATGCATTCTTACTCGAGATCGACATCTTTGTATGACAGTATACATCTACAGCGAAAACCGCCAACGAAATTGAAAGTAACTTCAAGGACTCAATTTTCATAAAATACACAGACAAACACATAATCCTTATATTATCACATTAGTCAAGCAATTACCAAGTGTCACCACTAGACATGGAATTCTAACAGGGGTTAGCGATGCTCTGAAAGAGAGAGAAAAAAGCACTTTAGTAGCGCTACCACACGAGTGCCGCATGCTTGTAAGAAAGTGGATTCAAGATCGAAGGCTGTATTTACCACCAGTCCTATTACAGATGGGTGGGAGAAGAAGAATCTTACAGTTAATAGCCTGTCGGATCGTCCTTGCACACCAATCCATACACGATATGCAGTCAGCCTGAAATCAGGCAAGCATGAAATTTCAACAAAAAGAAACCGTGTGACTTATCATGCCTTACGCTACCCTCTCTGTACTGAAAACACTCTCTGTTGTGCTAGGTGACTGTGTCTACAGGTCTTCCTTTGTTTATGAACTGTTTCATTCCAATGAAATGTGTTACTAGGCTATGAGCAGAAATCGGTTTTTGGATCATACAGCTGCAATCACTAAGTACCTCTGCTACCGTAAATAGTATCTCCACCTTTTGTGGAACTGAAAATTACTTCCTTTAGGTAGTACTCCTTTTAGCAACACCGTATGGGACCAGGGAAGGTCGTCAGTTCAGTTCAACCCTAGCTATATCACATCCAACTATTTGTTTACCTTTCCCGATTTAATCACACTAATGAAAATTTTATTTTCAAGGGACAAAAGCGCGGTTACTGTGTTGTGGTGCGATTGTATTTCTCTATACTTTCATCCTACCATCGTTAATAAATACAGCCTTGAACAGCAGTATGTTTTAATTTCTCCTTTCATTGGTTGGGGTGGTGTTAAGAACAGTCTGGCTACTGGGTCAGGTGGACTGGGCTGAATGAGTCAGGTGGTGTGGCCAAATCTAAGGTCTTGCTGAACGGATGGTCACACAGCAATCATGAGCCTTATTTCTAGTTGAAAACAGCCGAAAAACAAGCTCGAAGTCTTTCAAGCAGTGTAACTAACTAGTTTTCTAAATCATCATCTTGTTTACCATTGCTGCGGGTGATCCGTGTGCTTTTCTATCATAACATTCTTTCCACTGCTGAGATGCGTTCAAAGTATGTCATTGTCTGGTACACCTTGTTCATACTTTCTCTCAGTTTGATTACGTGTTGTGAGACTGTTAGTACGTCCTCGCCTGGTGTGTTCAGATTGAATTCATATATTAGAGGCTCACGGCGTTGGTTTTCACAGATAGTAGGATGTGTATTAACGCAAGATCCCATACCCCAAACATCTATGGTATTCGTCCTTCGTATACCTAAGGCAAGGAAAACACAGAAATGATCGTCGAAATTACAAAGTATATTCAAGGGCCAAATCGTAGTGCGAGGTTGGCTGCTTAACTAGTCAGGGATCGAGCGCGAGCGAACGAACGAATGTAACATGACGGCGTGCCAAATGGCGTAGATGATGGACCATAAGCCTTCAGCCAAACAAGTCTAATTTAACAGTTAGGATCAGTCTGTAGTGTTCAGTGATGAATGCCACGGTTAATAATTCTGGGAAATCACCTGCCGCTGCAACATCAACTGCAACCGAAATTCTCTATTAGTAATCATGTAATGAGGTGTTTGACGTGTATCTCTGTTGGTACTCGCTCTATGCCCCATCACGCATTGCAGAGAGGTCTGTCCCACTCCCCAGGATTATTTTGGTTCACGAATACCTACAGAGGTGTTACAAGTGTCCTACTGGTGCGTTTACATTACTCATTTCCTTGTGTGCAAATGCAGTGGTGCAAGTTTTCTGGATACCTATTATGCAACAAAGTTCGCTGACAAAGGCACGTTCATTTGAGTGTAAATGGCTGACACAGTGGCTGATCCCGCGGTGGCTATAGTATTAACTTGGGGAGTAGTCTCGCACCATGTGGTGAGATGGTCTGCTGTGACTAGAATTCAGTCACTGTTTCTACATTTGAATATAATATAATGCTATGTATTTATTCCCATCTATGTAGGAACACCAATTGTACAGGAAAGGATAAGCATTATTTAAATTACGTAAATTTTGGTTTATGTTGAATTCACACGGTTGCTTTCTGTTTTGTCTTTGGTTTGTGGGAACAGTCCGTTAACTAGTCATATAATGGAACACATTAAGAAATACAGGGATATTGTCTTCACATCATATTGGATGGGTTATAAACACCTGGGAAAAATAAGGCTTGAAGTCTATTCTCCCATATAACTTTGCTGTGTACGGCATCGAACCTTATTCTTGCTTTATAGCCAAACTGGATGTTAATTCACGATGAATAATATATTTGTATTTTTTTCTCATTTTCATCGTAGGTAACAGCAGAAGTGGACTGAACTACATGCAGGTGAATATCAGTCATAGTAAGGCAGATGCATCGAGGTCAGTCAATATAGACATTTGTAGCTGCTTGGTGTTCTGCACGAGTAAGTTGGTTAACAAGTAGAAGACTATTTGTAAACCAGTTGCATCTTCATTTTTGGTCATGAATACTGCTCGTATAGGATGTTACACAGAGTCCTGATATGGTTACACTGGAGTTTTCAATGATGCTGAGTTATTTTGAGCCAACAACTTGAAGGATGATGTGGCATATAAAAGTAAGAAGCTTCAAATCTTGTTTAACTGCAGCCTAACTGTAGATCTGTGAAACTTACCCGTTTATACGAAATATAAATTATTAATTATAATTTATATTTATTTATTATTTATTAACAATAATTTATATTTCGTATAAACGGGTAAGTTTACAAGAAATGCATGCCAATTTTACAGGAACGATCAGTTATGTTATAAATTACAATCGTGAAGTATCATAAATTAATACTTTTTCAAAAGTTTGAATTGTTCAATTATTGTACAAGCAATCAGAACAGGTTCTTATAAATGTTAAATTGTAAACCGTTAACTAAGGTCACCATCAAAGTTGAGCAGCAACCCAAACTTCGATCCATTTCCTACTGATCGTTATGGTCAACCAATGAACAGCGTATATCTGGATGAGTGCTATGCCGCCACGTGATTGAACGCTATTTCAGGAAGAGGAGAAAATTCTGCGCAGCTGCAAAATGGTATAAAATGCGATTATGAATAATACGTTATCGGAAGTATATTTATAAGATAAATACAAGGAGAAGAAGCTATATAGTACTTGAAAAGATAGTTTACATTTGCAATGTTTAATGCTAACCATATTGGTCTAAGCATGGAAACTATCATGTTTCCGATGAAAATACAGCTTTTTTCAAACATTGGTGTCGTTGTGTTTTTAATCAAAGCAACCAGACTTAAAGCAAGCAACAAATATGAATAAAGAGCAAGTTTCAGCTTCAATAAAGGCCTAGGTAGGTAAGATCAGATAGAGTATAATAGCGCTCAAATAAAAAGATTATTGTGAGGTTGGTAAGAAGAGGCGAGCAGCAAAGTATGAGAGAAAAATAATATTTGAACACTTATAGAATTTGAATGTCTGCTTATATACATGTTTATATTTATTGTACATTGCGGTCTAGCAAACCTATACGTTTATTTTCTCCTAGTTTCTTTGTGCATAAATGCGGTTAGACTATTTATCGTTTATAGGGTAATTATTGAAGTCTTACGAGTTCTTAAGGTGCGGAACAGAGAGCGTCTGAAACTTACGACCGAGGTGCAGGTCCTGGTTTCCAGCGTTAGACATTTCCATATTTTAGAATACTTGACTTTGTAGAAGCTTTCTTGGAGTGACAATTCAAGGGCTGTAATTGTCACAGGACAAGTTTATTTATTCAGATCGCAAGAGCCTCGAGGCAGGAAATGTGTGTCCTTACTGTCTGGGAATGATATTTTGCTTAGGGCTTTCCGTTCTTTTGAGTAGATTCTTGTTGTCATTATCTTAATCAGCATTAGTTCCAAATAGCTCACGTGACGTCACCCCTGGGATTGTGGGGGAAGAATAAGTTTACTTTTTAAATTTCTGTAGCTATTCAGTGAAATTTTGGTTAGGTTCGCTAGCCCTCCGCCAAATCTTACCTCTTTTTTCAGGTTTATAACCGGATTGTAAGCTAGCGAACCAGAGAAACGGGTAATGTTGCCCGTCATATTAACCCATATCAATTTTAATTACGTCATCAAACCCAAACAGCAGTATCATAATCGTTCACATAAGTTGGGCTATTGCTAAAGGATGAACATACGCTCAAAACACCTGAAGAATCTCGAGAAGCAGCAGTCCGAAGCAACGCAGGTACTTGCTGTTTTGCAGGTATCTTCCATGAAAATTCATCCGCACCCACTGATAACGTCAGAGGAGGACATACAGAAAAAATATTCACACGTTACGCTCGGCACTTGGCCCAGCGGAAAAGAAGAAATAAGTATTCTGTACTTTGCCTGCAGAAAAAATGGTCAGTAAGTAAGATGATTACTTCGAAAATAAGGACAAAGTGGATTGGAAAATGCTGTGGCCAGTTAATCCAAAAAGGTCCAATGAAAGAGATATATCTGCAACGATCCGGAAAAAAGAATCAGCAGTTCGATGACCACAGATCACTGACCAACACACAATACAACTGTGTGAAATTCGCTATGAACAAAAACACACATCTGAGAGTGGTCCACCTTGCATGTGAATAGTTCAAGATGAAGCCATGGACAAGTCGGTTTGAAATACTTATCTTCACCAGTGGGTTGCATCCTCTGAAGTTTGCTGCTATTAGAACACGCTTGTTGAACAGGGACTAATAAATGACGCCGAAGGGTGTTGGGGAAAATATCAGAAATTGGTGGGTCCTCACAAACATAACACCTCGGTCCAGTCTGACAATCGAAGTACATCTGGAGTGCATACAGCACATCCAGTACTGCAGGCGTCAGTTCACCTCATCATTCTTAGAGGAAGCTGCCTCTTTGAATTCCAGAAATTGACCTGCTTTCTCGGGAACTGTTAGCTGGTTTGTTGGACTATTGCAAATCCCAGTTTTGTTTA